CTGCGCTTCTTTGAGGTGTTTACCAAGTGACCCCAAGAGTGACTTCAGCATAGAAGGGTTAATAGATGGCTACAACCTGCCCACAAGGAACTGTGCCACACCTAACCACCTCCACACTGGCGTTGGATGCTTCAAGGCCGGCAGGCAATGCAGGCAGCCTCCCCGACACCACTAGCTATGACTGTGGGGATGTGCAAACGGCCAACTGCCTTGTCAAAGACTGGCCCATCCGCAGACTGGATGGCGGTTGGAATGGCCACCAGCACCTCACAACACAGGCCAAGGGCACTGCGGGATGCCGCATTCTTGTCACTGGATGGACCAACCCAGACCACAAGCAAGGAAAACAATCTCGATAGGTAGTGTGTGGCATGCTCAAACCAGTGGGTTTTCCCAGAGGCACATCCAATATGCCCACTCTCCACTGCCAAGTGGCTTCAAAAATATCCAGGTATTCCTACCAAGTGGCATGACTGGTATTTTGTCAAGTGGCATCTTAAGCCTGTTCTGTGTCCCGCTCAGTGTTCTGAGAAGTAATTTGTCGAGCGGTCTGGCCCCTTGTTCAGCCAAGTGGCCTGGCCAATTTCAAAGCAGGTACCGCCGAGAAAAATGCATTTGGGCCAACACAGGAGACAGAGTGATAAAAAGTAAACACTATACCATCTAATCTGCCTTTCGCTTCTTGTGATCTGAAATGTGCTTGTGGCAGACGTGGCTGTACTTACTGTGCTTCAGCGTAGTGCCGGCTTGCTTCCTCAATCTTGTCTCGGAGGATGTTGACATCGGTGGTCAGGAACTGCTCGATTTTACTCAGCTCCTTTTGGATGAAGGCCAGCCTCTTTACCTCGGCCTGTGTCTTTTTCTTCCTGTCAGAACCAAACAAAGTCAGCTTTGACGTCCAACAGTCAATGAATGGATGCTAATGACATACAGCAAGGTTGCAATTACTGCCAAGGAAACTGGGCTGTGGGTGAATGACTTGGCTACGGCTTTTAGCATGAACAGCTATGGAAGCCCCTGGCTAGTAGCTACAGCCACTTCCCACAGTCCATTTTGTTTTAATCTTCTGGCCTAACCTGTCCGCTATTGCCATTGCCAGTAGGTTCTTCTTTCTCTGGTTCTCATCCTCAATTTCTTTCTGTCGTTGCTGGAATTCCTCCAGCTTGGACAACTCTCGACTGCAACGAAAAGTAAAACAAAAAATAATAACTGGCTCACAGCATGGACGACTGAGAGCTTTAGAAAATTGACAGAAAATGATAAGATCAAGTTTCATTTTCTGAAACTTCTGCAAAAACAAAAAAAGTACCTCAATCCTTCTTTTTCATCTAGTTCTTTCCCAATATGTGCTTCACTCTTTTGGGCTGTTCTATAAACTGTCTTCTCCCTTGCTATTCCATCAGCTGCTATCCCTCCTTCTGGCTTACTCTGGTCCTTGCTCAATTCAGGTTTCTTTTGGTCTCCAGATGTGTCGGAAGGTTTATCAACGGGTACATGTGAGGTTGATTGGTTGCTCTGAGCAGGTGCTTTTGTTCTATCTGATTTGTGACTGGACGGTGCCCCAACGGGGCCGGGCATCTCCGCTGGACCTGATCTCTGATTGGTCCGTTGCCTTTGTTGCTGTGGCACCTGCTTTGGTTTGGACAACATCTGGTTCTGACTGAGCGGAAGGGGTTCTGATCCGGCAGAGCGGCTTTGGGTAGATGGGGGCGTCCTCCCTCTCTGAGGTGGAAGTCTTGTTGATGGGGGTCTGTTGCCTTGACTGTGGCTTTCGGTGGACTTCCTTCCTGGATGACTTCTAGAGTGGGACTCTGCAAACAGGAAGAATTGTAAATTTCTAAATAAAAGGACTTCAAAGTAATATAAAATTTACTATCTACGTGTACAATCTTGTGTACTGTGTGTACTGTAATAGGTGCATTTGTTAATATTTACCTGGATCAGAGCCTGACTTTAGTTGTCTTAATTGCTCATCTGTAAATCCTGTCCACTCCATGCCTGGCTCAAGCTGTCAAAGATCATGAAATAGTAACAAATCAAAACAGAAACAAATGCTGTGGCTACAGTTAGGGTACGTTAGACTGGTTGCTGTCTACTTCTTTGGCACCAATCTGGAATATTCGAAACAGGAACCAGACGAATGAATTTTCCGCTATATTTTCCTCTTGATAAACTCATCCCGACTTGCTGGGGGTGTGAATCTACCAAAACTAGGAAAGGATATCATCTATGAAAAGTAAGCATGGGATGTGATTGAACATGTGGAGAAATAAAGAAAATGAAAGAAAGAAAACTTGGGCTTGATCCCAAGTTCAATTCATTTGAATGAGGACTATCACCTAATCACAGCACCACGATAGCTTGGTCGAGTTGGTAGAAGATAGACAGAAAAGGAGGCCACATAAAACAACTTACGTCGTGTTCATATTACACTCACGACGCAAAGTATAGTCTCTACACTTTCTGAGCATAATCAGATAATATGTATGTGACGCAAGTCGTTCTGTGTGGCCTCCTATTCCCTCTTTTTTGGTAGAATCCAAACCCTGCTGACCTCACACATACCATAACGAAGATTAGCTTTCCTCATTAGACCTATTATACAAAGCTATAAAATAATTATAGAATTTGGAAGCTGCCATGGTTGCGCATGTCATAGCATATTCAGAGCATCGACAGTCATGGCAGTGCTGCATGTGCACCAGCATGGCTACCAAAAAGCAGAAAGATCAGGACATAACAACACTAACAGTCATAACAATATTGACATGCATGACAATTTGACAATCACCCTGACAATTGCATGTATGATGTAGGCCGCCTAGGCCTAGTTGTTGTCACATGTCATTATAAAAGGGTCTGTTACTACAATGACTACATGATGTAGGCCTCTACTAGGCCCTTGGGCCTGTTTTATTATTCTGACGTTTCTCTTCACTAATCACATTTACATTTAAAGTCCCTTCACGTTCTTCTTCTCCAAAGTGATGCGCCAACTTCACATAGGCCTACTTGAACTCGGGCACATTGACATTGAAATGAGAAGCAATTATCAGCTTACAGTTTTAGAGGTAGGAGGAAAACCCCAGAGAAATGGTTAAACCCACGAAATCAGGTAGGCCTACTAAAGTACTGAGTAGGGACTGAAAACCCAATGGCACATGATGTGGATTGGAACCATTGGCAATGGTTCCAAATACTGAAATAGGCCTAATCCATGGAGGTGTTTCCTACTCGATCATCCAATCCACATGTGGACCTAGCCAGGAAACAAACCCGGACCACAGAGGTGGAAGGGGGGAAAGAACACTAGTACACTACGCCAACCTGACTCCCACTTCAATTTTGACGTAGGCAAGGTCTAATGTTAAACCATAGACCTGAAGGAGAAATCGGTTTAAAAGTTAAGCGTAAACTTAACTCACCACCGCCGCAGCAGCCAATGCCACGTTCACTGAAACTTTTGAGATGTAACGTGCGCCCTCAACAGCTAGCTAGCTCTCAAGAGACCTAGGCCGTTTTCCAATACTCAATTCGGCTCCGTCTGAGGTTCACCTGTTTTTTAACTAGCTGACTTTGAAGCTGTAAGCGCAGTAATTAGTCTAAAAGTGCCACAGAACATCGAATAAGATGCAAGAAAACCAGAAATTACAGTAATCCAATTTAATTTAAACGTTTCAGGCCCGCAATCGGGGATTGGTTTGGGAACAAAGCCACCGACGGGGCCCAAGTCGAGTATTGGAAAAGGGCCATGGGTCTTTTTCTCTAAACTGGTTACCTGCGGCAACAATACACTATCGTATACATACACTGGTTCGCGCACTTGGCTGCAGGCGATCACGATCCACGATAGGTGTGTGTGGGAAATTCGCAAGTCTGGAAGTTGGTATTCTGGCTCGTTTTTACATGTATTTATGCGTATGTTCATTGTTTAAGAGATGCTAAATGTGATGTTAACTGCTAATCATGCATTGGAAATGGTTGGAAATTTTGATTGCTTGTTTCATAAACGATGGATCATTATGGTGTAATCCGCGGGCACGTTATGCCCAAAACAGTACTAAGTATACCGTTTCAAAACATTGCAGGATTACCTTCAAAAAATGGAAGTCGAAAAATGATGGCAATTCCCAGCAGCAGGTCCTTTGTTCCGAGTCTTTGTCTAAAACCAGGCACCCTGGCTCTGCGTATAAAACGGTGCCCGAAACTGGCCACCCCCGTGGGAAGTGGTTAAAATCAAAATGACCTTATCTTCCCAGTTTCAAGCTGAATTAGGTCATGTCTCCCTCTGCAGATAATGGCCGAGAGTGGGACACCGGAAGATGATTTGAGCGTGCCCCGTGCGGCGCTCAACAAGATGATCAAGGAGCTGCTGCCCTCGGTCCGCGTCTCCAATGACTCACGGGAGTTGATTCTAAACTGCTGCACGGAATTCATCCACCTTGTGTCATCCGAGGCTAACGAGATATGCAACAAGAGCTTCAAGAAGACCATCTCCCCAGAACACATTTTAGCAGGTGAAAGAAAACAGTATTGTATCTCTGACAGTTTTCTTACCACGTTTGTTTTCCCCGACTTCGAGCAAATTATTTCAGCAAATTTCACAAGAGTGACTGTAGTTTATAAACATATGTTTGTGAAGGGAAAAATACTGGAAATGACACTTTCTTACAGGAAAGTGGTAGGCTGGCTCAGCTCAGTTGGGATAGACTGGATTCCAGTGCGTATGCGTGTGATGCTTGTACAATCTTTTTTATCTCGACAGCCTTAGATAGCCTTGGATTTGGCGCCTACCTGGAAGACTGCAAGTCGGTCTTGGAAGAGTGCAAGACAGTTGCCGCCAAAAAGAGGCGGGCCAGCAACAGGCTGGAGAACCTAGGGATACCGGTGGAGGAGTTGCTACGGCAACAGGAAGAACTGTTTGCCAAGGTGAAGATTTCATCTTAGCACTGTCTCCAGAGAAACCGATTTATGGTTCAGTGCGAATTCAGTCTCAAGTTAATCACAAGTCAATAAAAAAGTCTGGTCACCTGTATGTGGCCATGAACAATGACAAAAGAATGCCTTTGGCACATTTCATTAGCATAGGTTTGGACCAGACTTGATAATGGATACCAGTCATGATTGATACATTAAAGACTAGTGATAGTTTGGCCTCCAACAATGAGAATCTAGCATTCCCCTGTTCAAAGTTACAAGATTGGAAGGACTGAGATTTTAATCTTTTAAATTTTTTGGTTTGGTCCACAACCACTCGCCGGGTCATTATCTGGTTTTAAATCAAAATGTAAGAAACTTCAGGCTTTCCAAATTTCTAACCGGATCACACAATGAATCTGGAGGCTTTTTTTTTCAGGAATTTTGTTTTAGTTTCCATTCAAAAGAGCAAAGTCAGGCTGCATCCGAATCTGTTGTCTAGAGCTATGTCTAGGCCTTCACTCCAGTGGAAATACACATAGACGCACAGACAATAGACCTAGCCATAGCACTGGAAGCCCGTTTCGGGCACGGCCTGAGCTCTTTGTGTTTCTGTATCCCTCGGTTCGGCATCCTGATGAAACAGGACAATATGTCAAGGAAAAATAGCGAGGGTTCCTACTGCTTTTACACAATGGAAGATTTCTTGTTCTCTAAAGTGGCTCTTGTGACCACGTGTGACTCCGTTAGGTTGAGTCACATTGTAAACAACGGTAATTCCAGAAATTAGGGGTCCATTTTTTTGTGTCCCTGTCACGTCTGACATATGATTTTGTAAGTTCAGAACACATTTTCTAATTTCCAAGAGTGATGAATTTATGCAAGTTACCTGCCAAACAAATACTAATTGTTTGAAATCAATTCCGGCGATATTTTCAGGTCAAATAACAAAGATCAGACGTAACAGGGACACAGAAATGTCCCCCTTTGGGACTTCTAATTTGTGGAATTACCCATGAAAATGTAGAGAATTCAGACAAATAATTCCTAGTTTGCTTGTGTCTGTCTTTGTTGTTGAGGCGAGGGAGGAGCAGGCAGTGATTGAGCAAGAGGAGTGGGTTCAGCTGCAGGCTGCCCAGGCAGCACAGCAGCAACAACTGCTGCAGCAACAGCAGCTACAGGGCACCAGCCAAGCACAACAGCTGGTGGCGACTAACCACAGCCAGCAGGGCGCAACGTAAAGGCCCGGTCTTTGGGACCCGGTGAAATGGACACTATGGAGAATAGAATAGAATGGAGAATATTTTTTAAGCAATGATCGTGCCTCTTGGTTTGGAGTTCCGGGTTCAAGTTCAGCCATCATCCAAATTCTCTTGAGGTGTTGTCGTAAGACCCGACCCGGTCTCCTGACAGACGGCAGTTTGAGAATTCTAGTTTTACTCTGAGAAAACTAAGAAAAGGTTACTGCTTCGCTTAACTGAGGGAAATGAATGCTGAACAACGGTCCCGTAGTCTATCAGGACCCTTCTTCAGAAAAACATTTGGAGATTTGATGATGAGATTTGAGGATGTTGTGGACATTTTTTATTTGTACATGGTTCGATCTCCATTGGTGTCAATTTGAGGCTTCCTTTCAGGCTTCTGCAATCTCACTTGAAATATCTTCCAGAGTTTTAAACAAATGGTGAACAATCTTAATTGTTATAAGTTTACCTTTCTTCCTTTCCTTTCCCTCAAAAGGCCTCTTGTCAATCAGGAAGACACCATGAGATAATGTCTTTCATAGAAGTGTAATTCTGGTTACTGCCCAATCTTGCAAGCAGTGTAATAAACCTTTGGTTGATTGAAGGAACAAGACTTCACTTGACTTTTGCTTTGTATATGTACTGAAGGTTACGATTGGTCCATTTCCAAACTCGGGTTTTCTCCCCGGATGTAGCTTCTGGCTCAAACAGTGTACTTTTTAACCTCAGCATTTGCCACAGGAATATCCAGTTATGCTGATTGGAGCCCCAAAAGAAATTTCCATTCGGTGAATGATAAAGAAATTATTCTGGAGCTTAAGTTGAAGTCATATCTAGAGTACAAATGTGAGGTTTGAGAAATTGCCTAAGGGGACGTTGAATTTGTTCACAAGTTAGTAGAAACTGGTTAACTCATTAATGTATTAATGGAGTAGCCTTGTGAAAAATCATGCAGGTCATTAAATTTTTTTAATTACTTTATAGTGAAATATGCCACCTGAAATGATAGAGTTTGTATATTAATTGTAATCATTGGATGTATGTGACATTAAATACTTGATTTGTACCACACTCATTCTGACCTTTTTAAAACTGATGTTTCTCTGAAAGTTACTTTTAATTTTCTGGTCTTTCCTTAGCTTTTTCGGTCTAAAGCTACAAGTTAAGACTTAAGTGTGTTCATATTAGATTCACCAAAAACGAAAATGGAATCAAACTTGATTACATCAAATTACGCATCCACGAGCACATTCATTTTTGTTTTGTTTTAGATCGGTAAAATGTTCACGGCCGAGACAGCAGCACTGAAGAAAGAATTGTTTCGATGTTTTGTCCGTAATCTTTACACTGATACTGTCATCAAAACAGGAAAAAATACATGTTAAATTCCCCCCCCCCAAAAAAGAGAAGGAAATTCGTTACACTACAAACGCATCCACCTGCGCTGATCAATGAGTGGCACACAGATTGCCGAATGTTCGTGCGCAAAGAGCCTCCTGGATTTGACACTAGTGCAGTCAATTGGTGGCGCTCTTCTACTTGCACGTGTTCTTGGTACGAAATTCGGGCTGGATTTTCGGCTGGACGCTATTTTTACGGCTGCAAGTAATCGTTCACGTAACCGGAAAGAAATTCTACGGAGGCCGATCACAGCAAAGCAGCAAGAGCCCACAAACGTCCACAAACAAAATACAGAAAAAAATCAATGTTTAAATAAATCCTTCGTCGTTTAGAATGTATCTTACCTATGAAACAACGTGAACAAATGCGAATCGGGTTTTTTATTTCACCAGCAGGAAACACAGACCGGAACAAAACACTAAGCCTTCTTGCACAATGAAAGAGGGCGCTAGTACAGACAATAATTTAATGTCAGTGCAGCCCCAAAATAACGCCTTCGCGCGGGACCAAATACTTAAACAAAGTGTATACTGTCAATTTCCCCCCCTATTAAGGAATTTCGTGGCACGTGAACTCGGTGGTGTGTAAAGAATAAGCATGGAATTTAAAAGCAAAGATTTAAAAAAGTGCTGGAATCTATTTAGAAAGTATGGGACAAGAAAACGTGAAAATAAAAATCGCTCTATTGATTTTTTAGCAAATATGCAAAGGTATCAATTCTCAAAACGACGACTAACAACTTCTTCCAAGTTCCATGATAATTTCTGAAAAAGATCAAAAGATTCGGAACAAAACCCTGGGTGATGTAGGTTTTCAGCCGAATGATTCGGCCCATAGGCTGTCTCATCACCTAATTAATTACAGAAGTCAACGCACCCGGTAAAGAACAAAAACGGCCCAAAATCGAATTCTGGGCTTATGTCCGTTTTCAAACAATTTTGTACAATCCTAGATTTCAAAAAAGTTTGCTTTTCTCTAAGGAAGGGGAACCCCTTTCCTTTCTCGAAAGGAATGTCCAAGTTTAGCACTTGGGAAATCAATTGGGCCGAGACAGCCTGTGAGGCCGAATGATTCGGGGCGCTGGGGTCCCTGGGCCCCTACACGGCATTCCTTTCGAGAAAAGTACACTTTTTAGAAGTCTAGGAAACGGACATCAGCCCAGAAACCCATTTTCCCGTTTTTGTTCCTTATCAGGTGCTTCGACTCCGGAAATCAATTGGGCTGAGACAGCCTGTGGGCCAAATTGGTCGGGGCGCTAATTAAGACAATCAATAAAAGCACACGTAGGTTTTGTTCCGAATCCTGTTATCTTGTTCCGAAATTATCATTGTAATTCAACGTTTAAAAAAACATGCGTATTTAATAGAGCGATTTTGATTTTTCCGTTTTCGTGTTTGATACTTTTTAAATAGATGCTGGCACTCTTTTGAATCTCTGCTTTTAAATTTGATACTTCTTTACAGACCACCAAGTTCACGTGCCACGAAATTCCCTAATAGAAGAGAAACTGACAGTATACAAGTTGCGATTCGGTTGAAGCAAGATATGGGATGGAGAGACCCCTCCGCCTTTGTGTTGGTCATTGTTTGATCGGAATCCTTTACAGACTTCTAGGGGGGATATGTTAGGTAACAATAGTCTAGAGTGTGTAAAGGGATTGGACAGGTAAGGGGGGGGTTACCCCTCCGTCCCATATCTTGTGCCTGGTATAATTCGGTCCGTGCGGCGAATGCATTATTTTGGGGCCACTGGCATTTGTACTAGCGCCCTCTTTCGTTTTGTACGAAGGTTTAGTGTTTTACTCCGGTCTGTGTTTCCTGCTGGTGAAATAAAAAAACCGATTGTTCATTTGTTTCATAGCTAAGATACATTCCAACCAACGAAGGATTTATTTAAACATTGATTTTTGTCTGTATTTTGTTTGTAGACGTACGTGGGCTCTTGCTGCTATGCTGTGATCGGCCTCCGTAGAATTTCTTGCCGGTTACGATTACTTGCAGCCGTAAAAATAGCATCCAGCCGAAAATCAGGCGCGGCGAGCAGAAAATCTGGCCCGAATTTTGAGCCTGGTCGATAAGGGCCTAGGCATTATCGGTGAGGCCCACTGTTGCTTCAATTTGAAATAGGCATTTAGAGAGAATGTAGCTGTCATCAACATAAGAGCCAGGATTTTATAGTGTTACTTTGTTTTGCTATGTGGGTTGTGCAGTTGTTGTATTCACGTTAATTAACAATAACAGGACCAACAACATCCCGCACATCGGCTTGTCATGCAAGCTGTACCGTCAGCACTACAGCATCTGTCGCCGTGATTCGTTCGTAGGAGCGCGGCGGAGGATGGATCCCACAGTTTTAGTGGTAGCCTGTCATGCCTGTAGGCTGTAACTTTTTTGAAGGTTTTCAGTTTAATTTAACAGATCACAACAAACTGTCCATTGTTTATGGTTAACACCTTTCCGTGTCTTGTTTACAGATAAGTTTATCGTAATGGCTGGACCGTCTCCAAAGAAAGCAAAGACTGTTTTCGACCTTGTGTTTGTGACAGGAAATGCCAAGAAACTAGAAGAAGTGAGTCTGCTTAGCTGTGCTAATTGGTGTCAGCAAATGCCAACAGACACAATTAGTGTCTAGGAAGCCTTGACAATTTGAAAACGCTCTCTAAGGCCTCAAAAGAAGTATCACTGTATTCAGGAAACACTGATGTCTGCTTCTATGTGAGAATAAAGGCAAATTTACCTCCAGATTCCAGAAGAATTAAAAGCCAGTCTTTCGTGAAGAGAAGAGGACACCTTTCTTATTTTGATTGGCCATGCACACACAAGATGGCAGCTTGTCGGGCTGCATAAGCTGCACTTCTGTCAACTATTCTGTCTTCATACTTTTCACTCGCGTTTCCACATTAAAAAATTATCTTGAATAAATGTGATATATTTAATTTTTTCGGGGGCCTAATTAATCTTCTAAATGCATTACTTATGCATAAAAATGTTAGTATATGCCGTCAACATTTTGCTAATGCTTAGACGCTATATTAGAGCATGACCCAGTTACCGTTTAGTTCATGTTTGGACTTGATCGCTTAGACCTAATCTTCGCATAGGGCGTCTCCTCTACTAGGAGTACATTTATGTTCCTTTGCTATTTGCACAATCAGGGGTGGTGATTTTATTTCAAATGTGAGCATCACAGGGAGCCAAGGTGGCCGTGAAATCTTCCTCGGCATGATGAGCAGGGGTTTAAATGAGTTTCCTAATTGAAAGATGTTATTAGAATTCTGTCTTGCTGTCACTGGATTGGAGAGCAGTACACACTCGTTACTCCCTGCTTTTGACACTTTTTGAGTTTTGGCTTTTCTTTGCTCATTTCGTCTTTTGGCAGGTTGTGGCAATCCTTGGTGACAAATTCAACGTGACTTCAAGAAATATAGACCGTAAGACCGTCAAATGACTGCTTGAAATAAATATCTTCTTCTTGATATGTGCATTGATTGGTATTTAAATTAAAGATTGTATTAAACAAAGTTGAATATTTCTCAGGCAGCTTGACAGGCATCAAACATGGATATATATCTTTCTACAAAAGGCTTTTATTTTTTTAAAAATCATTCAAATCATTACAGCATTTGAATATTTACATTTGATTTTGGCAGTTCCTGAATTTCAAGGTGAGCCAGAGGATATTTCCATTGCCAAATGCAGGGAAGCAGTCAAACATGTGAGTCCTAGTGTTTGCTTTGCCCTGAAAAAGCAGAATCTACCAGGAGGTTTTATTTTCAGACGGAATTCAATAGACGGACACCACTTGACACCCTGTGTACAAATCCGATGAGACTTGTTTCAAACATTTTAAATACGTCAAAATTTTCACTGCTCTATTTGAGTTTTTAGGACATTTTAAATAGGTCACCACAGGGAAGAGTGAGTGGTGTCGCTACGTGACATTCTTTCCTTTTTTAGGGAGGATTTGTAAGATGTAGGGGTGTTGAGCCCAGTAACTAATTAGTACTTGACATCTCTGGCTTTGTGTCTCTTGCAAATTGAAGTGCAAAGAATGTGGCAGTGGTTTCCAGCACAGTGGAGGATTTTTGAGGATTCAAGAATTTGCTAGTTAGAATGCCATAAAAGGGCCGACCTCCATTGTTTTTTTTTTTAGGGGAAGATACTTTGTTGTGATATTTATAGCGGTCATAATTTACAGTGCGTAGAAGGGCCAGTCGAATACAAAGTTTGGTAGCCTTCAAAGTGTGTCCCTTGCCATTGTATAGGGCTGAGTCTATTTCAATAAGTCACTGTTTTAATATTTGACCTTCAATTCGATCGAATGTCTGAATATTCGGTCGTACCGAGGGGCATATTGTTGATGAACAATCCATGTACAAAATCAGTTGCAATAACGCACAAAAATTGTACATTTTAACCACTGTATTAGGTTCTCACATCTGGGAGTATCTCCAGCCACGATTTATCAAGATTTAGAGATGAACTTCTTTCCCTTTGAAATTTTGTAATGAATGAATTAATTTTTTAATAATTGTAAGATTTCTGTCGCTTTTCATTTGAGTCTGCTTGAAACAAGCTTCCACAGTACAATTTTTTTTCATTTCAAACAAGAAAAGTCTAACTTCATTTTCATGAATTTTGCATTCAAATTCAGAAAATAATATTCGAATATTCAATATGCGATCGAATATTGAAACATTTGGATATTCGGCACAGCCCTACCATTGTGTTTTCCCTAAAACTGTCTACATATGCCTCTGTCCTGGTTTAGGTGAAGGGCCCAGTTATTGTTGAGGACACCTGTCTCTGTTTCAATGCGTTAGGTGGGCTACCTGGTCCATACATGTGAGTATGCCAACTGAACTCACAGTTTCAGTCTCAAGTTTATTCCAATACATCGCTTCGCTTGGGCTCAAGTCCGACCTGGGTCAGTTTTTTTCTCGATTTGAGACACACGAGGTGGTTACTTGACATTTTCATCAGCACATTATTCATACCCAGTTTCCACCAAATGATTAGCAACCTTTCCAGGCAGATTTTGGAAGAAGTATTTGTCAACAATCCATAACCAGTTCAGGCAGGCGGTGCTGTGATTGACATCAAAGAGATGGTTACAATTTAGTGATAAAAAAATGCCAACTGGAAATTTTTTGGATTCAGATTTGTTGGACTTGAAGTTGTTGTTTTTTTATTTTCATCTCCCAGTGAGTATTGTCTTGGTAACTGAAGTTCACGTAATTTTTCTTTTATGAGTTTTGTAATATTTTGGGGGCCGAAACACTGATGGTCGAAATGGATTCTGTTGCATTTTATAAGTCATTTCATTGAAAAGTTTACCCTATGCTTTCGTCATTTTTTTGGTGTGCAGAAAGTGGTTCCTCTCCAAGTTGGGCCCGTCTGGTAAGTGACCAACCAATTTCTCTATGGCATTTGATAAACCTAACAGACGGACAAGTTTAATCAAAATCACTTGTAGAACTGGCGTGGAATAAATTAAGCATAAAGGACACGGCATGGGTGATCAATCAGAAAACAAATTACAGAGTTACCTGTTAGAGCTGAGGTCTCCACCAATGAGCCACTTCCGACTTGCCGAATAGCTAGAGTGACCACACCTCAGACAACGCAGCGCCCTTTTATGCTTTGCCTCCCTCATGCTTGAATGATTCTGAAAAGAAAGTATGTACTTCCCTGAGAAAAGCATGCATACATGTAGCTTGATTCTGGCCCAGCTGACTTAGGAGGGTTGGAATTTGGTCCGTTCTCTTGGAGGCTGGTAAATCTTACAGGATTAGCTTGAGTATAACAGCCACACAATAAAGTTCAGTTACTCTGCAAAGCTGTTACTGATTTTATACAAGAACACAGTTATTTTGTGCCTAGTGAACAGGAAGTTACTTTGTGGGCACTAGTTGCACTATTGCACAGTAGTCAATATTTTTCATATTCACCTGTGGCAGGACTGCATCGTTTGCTGACAGGCTGGGAGGACAAGACGGCCTATGCTCTGTGCACGTTTGCCTACTCCAGCGGCAACTTGCAAGACCCTGTACAGGTTTTCAAGGGCCAGACACATGTATGTTGCCCTCACTACATATATTTCCCTCTTGTCGGTTATATGCAGTAGCCCAATAGTACACTATGGACTGCAACAGCTGTGGTGAATTGCAGTGTTGGAATGCTCTGCCACTGACATCATATCATAGCCATCAGAATACTGCCATGTTACCTTGTTCCAGCTTTTGGTACGATGAGGGTCACTATGTCACTGTTTGGGATTATGTGGTATGCATGAAATTTAGGCTAATATAAATATGTAGTATACCATATACTTAGTACTGTGTGGTATGAAATAAGTCGGCTATTTCCTTAGAATGGGTTTTGGACTGAACAATTGATGTAGCTGTGACAGGAATAGAACCGGGGTACCAGATGTGGAAGGCGGGCTGGTTTTTCTAATTTTGGATTTCTTTTGAACTTCTTTCACTTTTTCAGGGCACCATCGTGTCCCCTCGTGGCCCTCCAAGTTTTGGGTGGGATCCCTGCTTCCAGCCGGACGGATTCACACAGACGTACGTCTTTCTTTTAATCTCCATTATTCAATGCAAGGCTCTAAAATGCAGCCTGGTGTCTTTTCCCATTTCCTAATCAATCCGCTCAAACTTGTCAAAGTCTGGGAGAACCATGCACCAATGTGTGAAATGCACACCATGCTTGCTCGTAAACTTAGAGCGACAGGTGGTTTTGTCACCATTCGGTGTCATTCAGGCAAAATTATTTCATCCACGTGCTGCGTCCACCATTATCTGCCATTGTGATCAGGTTGAGGGGTATCACCTATAGTGCTTTCAGTGAACCGTTGTCAGCAGAATCCCTAAGACATTGAGCTGGCAAGGGCTAAGACCAACACACAGGTCTATGGGAAACAGCCAGAAGCCAGTGTCACTATAAGACTGGTACTGCAGACTACCAGGGAATAGTTTTCAACAGTCTTATAGAACTCCAACTTGCAATTAAAATGTTTTTTGGTTCATTTTTTGTCCTGCCAGATATGCTGAAATGGAATCAACGACCAAGAACAGTATATCACACCGGGGTAAAGCTCTCAAGAAGCTGGCTGAACACTTCCTGAAAATGACATGACCGTGATTAATTTCAACACCTCAGGGTTTTTAAAACAACATTTGTGGGAATCTTTCATGGCAATACTGCCATTGTAACTCAAGAAACATTCTACTCTTTCATTTGAGAGAGAGGAAAGAAACAATGTACTCTCAACCTCCTTCTCAGGACCCTTCATATCCCTGTTTTAAAAATCGGAATTTATTTTCAAGGTTTTTTTAAAATTAACATAACTACTTGTAAAGAGGTGTGTCTTAAATTTGAGAGATTAGTCATTATGAGTGTCTGTACATACCATTTTAAAGATAGAATGCAGTATCCTCAAAATTACAGACTTCTAACGTTGTACATTTTGTGCCTCTCCATTATGGATATTTTTATTTTTCAAAGGGATGTTTTGCCTACAGTCTTTAACAAGAGAAGACTTCACATCACACACGAAACAGTCATTTGACCTTGGTTCTTGGAAAACTACTTTTTTTCATTAAAATGTTATTTAAATTATATCTTTCAATTTGTTTTTGTGAAATTTAGTTGTACTATAATTCAATAATGAGCATATTCATCAGGGGAAATTTTGGTCATTTCTTAAATTTAAGTAGTAAAGTGTCAATTCTTGAGTTGACTGTTTGAAATATATAAACATTTACTGAGTTTTTGTTCATTTACCAGTTGTTTTCTGATTAACTTTTGGTTATTTGAATTTACTTAAAAACTAAAAATACTGTTAACATTATGTACAGTTTAGTATTAAAATTAAATTGAATTGATTTGTGATGGAAGACTATTTTCATTTGGCAAGAAATTATAAAAAAATGGAACAGTTTCACAAAGCTACCAAGTATTTGGTCTAAATCGCTTTTTGGCATGCTTCGTGTCCATAGTAACCGTGCAGAGAAGCAGGATGTAAAACTCGACATAACAATCTTGGGGATGTATGCAATGCCAATTACAGGCTTTGTCCCAATTGTGAATGACACCATGCATGTACATGTACAAACTTTTCCTACGCACCTGAAAAGTCGAACAGAGACATGAGCGGCCCCCTTCAACCCTAAAATCCAACATGAAAATCTTCACAGTAATTCCAAAGAAGAAGATGGAGAGTGCAGGGGGGGAAGATTCTTGACTAGAAAAATCTGAGCTAGGTGCTACATGCAGAATTTTGAGCTATTTTAGAAATGGAACAATTGATCAAATTCTCGGGAGCATGCCTAGTGGAAATGTAGTAGAATGGCCGAAGTTGCTATGCTTTGCATGATTACTTTTTCTGTCTTGTGTCAGTTAAAATAAATAATAAATCAGTCTGATCAAGACGATTTGATTTCTAAGTCTGTCGCATAAATTGAAGATTCTAACAAGATTTTCAAATGGTGAATCACGACATTCAGTCAATTAATGCGTGTTTGGGTACATCCATATACAGGGAAAATAAGGCTAATTGCATAATTACACACGATTTCAATAAATACATCAACAGAAACATCCTTTGTACAAATGTGGGTTAATAAAAAACATGATTGTCTAAAACTAATAGTCATTGGCAGCATTATTTTAGCAGGTTGGTAATTGTGTCCTCCAGTAAGCTGCTTTCTGAGTAAATAAAGCGAACAAATGAACACAAATACAAATATACATGTAAAATAGTAAGTTGGAAATAAATGGAAATTTTCTTCACTTGTGGACTTCATATGTACAGTACATCCTTAAAGACTGAATCTAGGCATTTAATACAATGTAGATGTGGAATGCATGAGCTTTTGTGCCATTCAGTTGAAAACTGATTGCCTATGGGGTCAAAATAAAGACAAGAAGCTTGTCATTGTTAGAATAACAAGTACTTGTTCCACTTAAGCAAACTTATGTCAATATTCAGTATCGTGAGTTACACATGAACCCAAGACCGCCAGAAAGCAGTTCAGGTGGCCTACCAACTCAGCCTTGCTTCCGTGGTTCTTCCCAATTTCTCAACCTTTATCCACTGGCAAAAGCCCGTATCCACACTATTAAAGCACAATGTGACCCTTTAAAATACAAGCAGTGATTGCTGGCAAGTCTGTGACGCCAAACTCTGGGCATCATCCAAAGAGGGGACGGCACAGATTTCTAGGTTAATCTACGGTGAGAACTACGTTCTGTAATTCTGGAATGTTGACGCATGCATGTATGGGATTGTGTCGAATGGGGCCACCCCAAAATTGTCCCCAAAAAGTCTGCATCATCCTACGAACCAGTTCATTCACTCTTAATACAATCATCACCATACAAACTGATGAAATATTCCATTTGTCTAACCCTTTCAATTTTTCAACATTCCTTTCCCGGTTTTCTGAATCTACCAGGATGCAAAGGAAGGCCCTTTCCAAAGTTACCCTCAAACTCTCTAAATTCTGGGGTACCTTTTCTCGACACAATCCCTGGAAAATGGAGCAAACTAATTACTTTTCATCTAAACCACCAAAATTTAGAATTCACAAAAATATGTACATCAAAGCTGCTCTAACTACAATAAAAAATAAAGTTTCCAAGTAAAAGAAATTTGTGCTTTCATCTGAGACAAGATTTGTAACAACTGCAATTATACTGTTAAAAAAAATAAACAACAAAAACAGGAAAATACATTGTAATTTCCAGAAGTTAGTGTCACAGATTAAATGGGTAAATAAGCTAACCAGTGATCAGAAATTCTGGAAAGCCCCCCTGTATTTTCCAGTTTGAATTTCATAATTTTTCAACTTCCTCTTCCATGAAAATCCAGGAACCTCCTTTAAATATTCAGCCACTGCAAATCAAGGCAGAAATTCAAAACTTGGCATGCAAGAAATCCAAGCTTTTTCGGATTTGAAAATTTCGGATTTAAAAAATCAATCAAAAAATTATACAAACAATAGAAATTGAAAAAAAAGATTTGGCTATCAACAGATATCTTCCCTGCTAAAGGCAACCTATAGCTGAGAAAAGTTTATCTGTAAGATTGATAAAATTTATTTCTTCTGAACAACTGGATTTCCCTTTCTAATCAAGTACAGGATATACATGTAGATGAAATAAGACAACAGATATCTTATAAACTCATCCATTCTGACTCTACTGAGCTCATCACATAAAATATATTGTTGATAATATAATATTACAAGAATATTACACAAATATCATACAAGTATTTTTTTAATATATACTACATACATAGAATAGATTACACAATTTATACAGAAGAATACATACACATTTTGCTATATTACATCTGTTTTTGATAGCTATTCAACTGAGATCCAATAAAATACATTCTGGTACAATTTGAGGTCATACAAAGATAAGCTGCTTAAAACGATATCACGAACAAAAGTATCTTGGAAGAGTTGTCGGGAATCTGTTAACAAAACATTGGCAGAGGAAACAAACTTAGGCAAACTTGTGAAAAATTGGAAATGAAGACAGGAAATACATTATTGTCAGCCTTTCGAACAATCTACATTCTACTACATTTGCATATCATGGGTCCTATCTTCTGGTAATAAATATTTGTACATCTGGCCATCAGAGGAACTCAAAATGAACTGAATAAAAGTGACAATACTGCGTCTCCAACAATATCCCACACACCATCCAATGAGACCCTCTAGGTGCCTAAAAAGATGTTCAATGAATTCCTAGTGATAATGGGGTTTAATGAGGTATTTGGGCGGCCATGATAGGGACTTTCTGACTAGATCCCACAAAATGAGTCTCAGTTTGCATTACAAATAGCAAACTGAATTCCTTGTTTTGATGTACCATTCAGTTTGGGATCCTGATGAAATGGACGCTATGTGGGTGAACGTTTGGAGAGCTCCTGTTGATCGTGCAAGTTTCCATTGAGTGCCCTGAACTCAACAGTGGCTGCAGTGACCTGTGCTTCATTTTGCCAAGTGGGGTCAGGTGCAAAACCCAGGTCACATTTGTACAGTGGAGTGACTTGTCTACACCCTAAGGAATATAAATACCACTTGCTGTGTTGTGCTTTTGTCATGCGCAGGGGGTTTGTTGTCACGAGTCGTGGCCGTCTCGTATCCAGGACATCCTCGTCCTTCGGGACTTGGTGATGTTGCGCTTGATGACGGCTCCAGGTGGGGGCTTTCTCTTCAACATGAAGTTTGGCTCCACGTTGGCGTTCATCGCATAGTAGACATTGGCATTGTCCGGTATATTGAGCTCTGGGAAAATATCAAATGCAAACTTTGTGCAAACGGTGTTGTGATTTCCATGAATGCTTGTTTAAGTGACAAGATTTTTTGAGTTGAAGTCAGTGAAAAATCTGGAATCCATTTAGCGATGTCAGGGAGAGCCGTAAAAAGTTAGTCTTACAAACTGTTTAGGCAAAAGGTACAAAATAAATATAATATACCGTAAAACCTCGATAAATTTACTCGTTTAAGTCAAAAGTCCGCTTGTCTTGGAGTGATGCTTTGTTCCCGCGAAAAGAATGGGCTTTTGTGTACATAAATACTTCCCCAAGTCAAATTACCAGTGGCCAAAATCTAGCTTAAGTCGAAGTTTTTGTGATGCTGATCCAAAAAAACGCCGCCAAATCATGTCAAAAAGTACAAACACGGGGCCACAAAACCACGGTCTGAGCTAAGTCATTGCTGCTGCCAAGCCCACATTGTCTTTTCACTCTCGATCCGCTTGCATGGCATGCATGCTGCGCGGTTTGCTTCATAAACCATGCCACACCGTAACTGCAACAATTTCGGGCTTTCAGGCTAGCCTGATTGCCACCGCAAGACCCATGCCCGGATGGACCAATCACTTCCTATCACAATGGTCACGGGACCATAGACAGCGATGTCATGAGAAAAACCCAAGTGAAACCAGGCCCAAATACTGCAAGCAGCACGCATCACGTTATAAACACAATCGGCAAAAACACCAAAGATTTTCCACACGAAGGTAGACCTTTAAACGTGATGAATTGTGTATCTATTCGTAGAAACAAAACTTCTAGACATAACAACAATAAAAAGTTTAGCAAAACGATTATTTATGAGAAAAAATGTTCCATGGATGATGAGAATGAATAAAAAACGGGAAAAAGCCACCAAAATGATGCTACCATGGAGCCAGTTGGAATGACTATGTCTACACATATGTATACGTGTATTGGCTCCATGGCTGTGAGACTTTCTTTAAGTAAAACTCAGGACAGATCACCAAGTCCACGTATCTTGCATTCTCGTCTTCTCCTCACTGCTGGGCCATGTCCAAATGTTGTGGCTACGGCTAAGTCTAGGTCTGTGCCCTTGACAATTGTGTGGGTAGATGATAACAGTCATAGCCTTGGCTCTGGAAGCCTATTTCAGATGACTTACCTCCCATGGGTAGGCTCTGAACTAGCATGAACTCGGACAGGTTCTCCTCGGCTGGTAGGCTGTACTTTTCAGCGGCGGTTTTGATGACTGAGGGCGTGTGCTCTTGCTGCGTGATCTATACATGGAAATTGATTATTGATTCATAAATTTCAACAAAATTTGCTCTAAGTTTCTGCTGAGCACTTTCCTGAATCCTCCAAAATTCTCAACTCCATGTACAGAAACAGCGGCTGGGCTCCGCCTTCCTCAATCCCGCAAAATCTTCCAAAAACATCTCTCCAACAACTGTCCATCAAATTGTATCTGTGACAATACCAGATGGTACTGCTATACCCAGCCACTGGAACTGATTCCAGATTTGCCTTTCTCTGTTAAGTTTCAAATCCTCCATCGGAAAATTTTAAAATTCCCCAACTCAACACGCAGTTTGTACAGAGTTGGAAGCTCTAACAAAAGATCTGGTCTCACCCTGTGAAACTCCACCCTAAAGAAAAACCCCTAGGAATCTTAACTTCCATTCCTTATCCGCTCCAAGCGCAACAAGAAAGGGCCGCATTTTCTTTGATACTCACCACATAAGAGATCAATGGCGCATTTGACAAGGAGCATACTGAGTACGCGCAACGATTTTTTTCCCTTAATGTATGGTCTTTCCCTACTTGCAATAAGCGCGCAGGAACCCGCTTGGAAAACTTACAACCATCTATCTTTCTTTTGCTGCTTGGGGGTGCACTTCAACAAGGGGCAGATAGGAAATGTATACTATAGGAAAATAACATTTTGGAGGAAAATGTTTGGGTACTGACCACGATGCTCTTGTAGACATTGCACTCGCTGCCCTCCAGGGAGATCCTGATGATACGGCAAGATGCCGAGGGGAAGGTTTCGGGTGTCTTGTGCTTCTCTGGAACGATTAGCTGGGTCAGGTCAGTCATGGAGTAGGATGCTGAAATCTGGAAGAAATATATGCAACAAAAGTGAAAATCACAGAGCTTGCAGGTAAGAAATGCTGGGTTATCTCCTTATGCACCAGAACACGTTCCAATAAACATGGAACCCAGTAGAATTCACTGTGGAGAAGTTCCGGGGACTCTGAGTTTAAAAAGATAAGTTTCCCTTATGTTGAATTCATTACTGACTGCGTCACATTCCAAATGTACTTTACTTCCAGTTAAAAAAGTTCCACTGCCACATTGTGGGCTTAGTTTAACCACTTATTGCCGGGTGTAATTTGAACTTGCATGACATAAAACTGGGAGATTTTCAAGATTTTCCGTTTTCAAAATCTTTCCAAAAATTATAACTTCATTTACTGGATGTTTACACCCACAAGAATGACTGTCTGGTGGCTACTCTAATCTGACAGACAACATCGCCCGAGTATTTCAGCCAGGCCTATTGTATTGTATTGCTCATTGCTGGAGCACTTTTGTCCCCGGTGGTAATCAGCTCACGCTGGATGCCACAAACAGTGGTTTAATCTGTCAAAGCATGACGGATTTCCTCCTCAATTTACAACTGAAAAAATGTTAGAAATTCCCAGCATTTCTGTCTTTTGTTCTGAGTACGGTCTTTTTTAAAAGCCTAGTTTTTTTGTCCGGTTTCGGGCTCCCTGATTTCGTATATAAACCCTAAAACCGGGCTCCCCCGGCAGGAAGTGGTTAAGCTGCAATAAAGCCATAACAACAGGATACCAGATTTGATCACCATTCCTGATGCCAGTCAGATTTTTGTTCAGAGCCTGAAAATGCGGCCAGTAAAGCCTGAATATACGTATCTTGTTAAGGCCTGAATTTGGACCAACAATTGAAATGAAAATGCCTGACATCAGGCTCTTGTCTGACACTGGCATCCCTGTGCTGACAGACACATTTCACTCACCTCAAAATGAAACTTTATTCCTGTTTTCACTTTTCAACTTTTTCAAAAGGTTTTTAGACTTCAAAAGCTGAGATGAATTTTTTTTGCAGAGATGCCTGCAAGATAAAGTCAAGAGTAAAACAGAAAAAAAAAACATCAGAGAGGCAATTTATGAGTCTGGTGCTAACCTTGCGCACCAACTTCTCCCTTTCCTTCACCCCGCCGGTGGTCTTCCTGATCTCCCCCCGCCGCAGCGGTAGATTCTCCCCGCCATTCACTGAGGTGGCTGGGGAGCTCTCGCTAGAGAAGCTCATTCCATCCTCCAGGAGGGGGGTTTCAGCCGAGCCAGCTGAGCCTGTGGAGCTGGTGCTGCTCAAACTACTGCTGCTGCGGTGGCTCTTAGTGGTGTCCTCTGCTGTGTAGCTGAAGAAGCGCCTGGAAACAAGACCACACCTTTCATTATTTTCAGACTAGGGCTTAATGAATAGGCCCCATTCATGGGGCCCCAATTTCAGTCACATTACCAAACGTAGTGTATTTATTTGAAAACCTTACATTCAAAGAACCAGACTATATTCTACGATTTCATTAAAACCCCCAAAATCACCTGGTAGCATCTCTTCGAGGGTTTCAGATTTCAGGAATACAACTCAATTGGGGATGCCGTGAATACCGTCTATTTCCATGCAACCCCCTGGATTCAGACTTTCCAGTTCAAAGTAGCTAAATTTTTTTGAACCATAATTGTCAAACTGTCAAATATGAATCAGAAATAATTTCTTCTGACTAACCTGAAGGCACTACCCTTCCTGTCTGGCGTGTTGAACATTGGAGACTGGGAGGTTGGCGTGAACCCAGAGATCTCGTCTGACACCTCACAGCTACAAGAACAGAACACCACAATGAATAGATTTCTAAACATGGAGAAGGCATAAGTTATCATTTGCATCATGTCTTTTTTTTTTGAACAAAAATTTTGGGGTATTACAAACAGTTGAATCTAAACATGCATGTCATGTAAATACCTCGACTTCTGATAAAGATCACACTTTTCAACCCTTGACCAAACCATTTTTTTTTCTTTTGAGTCTAAAAAAAACGGGCCTTGTCTGATCCAACAGTTTACTCCGAATTAGACTGGCAACATGACCCCACTTAACAAGAACAGGGCACCAGCTAGGGCTCAGGTCCATGGAGAAGCACAGCATAAACTGGCTTAGCACAAAAACAATCTCCTCAGCAAGTGCGAGTTACCAACCAAAATGCCATAGAGTGTAACGTTGCCAGTGGCTGGTTCTCTGCTGATAGTACCTAAGCAGTGTTTCCTGTTACGCAAATTTTGCACATCTCAATCCTGAAATTGGAAAGCAGCATGTCGGGTCGAATTCTGAATGTGCTTACCACTCGGCATAAGTCATGACGTTCATGTTGTTAAACCAGTCCACAAATTCTGGCACCAGCTGGATGCGGTAGTTTTTGGCCGCGTTCTGCAGCAGTTTGATCTGGGCAATCACCTCAAACTCCTGCCAAGCAAAGTACAAATAGCATAGAAAGTCTCTGTATTTCAAGTAGGTCAACTGCAAACGGGCACAACCGAAACTTCAGAGGTACCTCTTTTATTGGTGGTCACACGGTTTGCTCCACCATCTTAGAGTTGCGTACCTAGTGTGGGCATTTTTTTCTTCTTGTGAAAATATGCACTTTTACTAAAATAGTTCACACTTTTTTATGCTGGGTTTTTGTTGATGGGTTCCCTAACTGTTCCTTGTTCTTTTGCTATGGTAACCCTGACCCCCAGAATAACCTCTGAACCTGCTTTTCAGAGAGGGGGAACTTAGTCCACACCTGGCTTAGTCCACACAAGGTTCAAACAGCCTGCATTATGAGGACCTGCTTTGTTTTCAGGTCCCCACACAGACGGCCAGGTTGGCACATGCAGTGTTTGCTGACTGACAACGGGCCGCTGCATACTTGGGCAGGAAACTGTGCCTACCTTGCGCTTCTTCTCAAAGTTGACGAGGCCGTCGCCTATCGTGTCTGGGTAGGCCACGTCGATCTTGATCAGATCTGTCAGGAAAGTACCCAGGTAAGGTACGGTACCATGCATGCGCGCCTACAGAGAGAGAGAGAGTATGTGAACGGAATGTGTGAAACAAAGTGTTTCACCTTACGGTCAGGCAAAAACAAAAGATCTCCAACTTTTGGTCTGAAGCAAACTTTATCGCATAAAAATGTTAAAAATTCTATTTTCTCATCTTTGTTGTTTTCACACATGCTTCAACCACATAATTTTTCACCCTTTACCTTGATGTATCACTCAGTAATTCTTATCAATGTGGATTTTACTGGCAGCAGCTGAAACAACTAGAATGGCAGATTTTTGAGGATATTTTTGGTATTTGCAAACAAGGAAATAAAAGGTTTGCATGGCTGCCATCTTGCAGGCCAGTGCTTTTGCACAAAGGAGGTTCCCTTGTGGAATAAAAGAACTGCCCTGAAGGATTGCTACCATGCAAAGCCTCTATACCCCTTTGAAAAGAAAGCAAAAACAAAACAAAGAAACCACAACTCACACTTTCCCGCCTCTGCCCTGAAGCCTTCTCATTGCTTAGCCTCCGCACCAGGTTCAGGATGGGCTTGCGGGATATCCTTGGGGAGTCCACGCAGGCAAACTTGGCTGTACCCTCCTGCAAGACACACAAGACAAGAAATGTCAAATCAACGCACAGTTGGTTTGGAGACTAACACTCCATAGTGCACTCTAACCTATCTATGAATGAGGTTTTTCCACTCAAGCGATACTCATTCACAGCACTACATGTTTACTAAAGCCTGCTTTAAACAAACAGATGATGTAGTTTTTTTCACGGAACTTATCTGGCCCTGCTGGCCAGCCAATCAGAGCCAACGGCTAGAAACAAGACCACGGCTTTCGATTATGATAGCCAACTCTGTCAGTCTGTGTAAATACTCTGGTCAAAATCACGGGGTCAAGATACGGATCAGTTCCAAAAACGTCACTGTGGAATATCAAATTCAAAGCACCACGCTGCAGTGGAAACAGCAAAGTCTACATTTTCCCAAATGGCAGTAAGTCGAGAATTGACTTCTTGCCAAACTGTGTTTAATTTTGACTTGTAATGTCACATATCTGAGTGAAATGAGCGTGCAGATACATGTATGTGAAACCAAAGTTTCAGCAGTATATTAATAATTTCCTGGGTGTGTCCGTGCCAATATGATCTTACTCAAATTCTGAAAATACGCTGCAAAGCTAATAGACCGTATTTGCGGCATTCCCAATTTCAGTCGTATTCCTGAACATACATTATCAATTTGATACCCGTAACAGGGTGGTACCATGTGATTTGGGGGGTCGGAATGAAATCATAGAATATCATCTGGTTCTTTGAATTTAACGTTTCCAAATAAATACACTACGCTGGGGAATACGACTGAAAATGGGTCCCCACGAATAGGGCCTATTCATAATTCCAAGGGTGCCACAACAATATCTAATTATGACATATCATTTGTATTGCTGTTATGTATTGTCAGTCAGGCCTAAAAGAATTGTGCAACATTGTTAGTAGAGTCAAAGTGAACACTTTAGTGAAAACTCCCAAATTACAAACTGAAAAAACAAACAAACCAATTTCGAAGTAATTTCTCTTTCCTGTAAATAGACACTTCCTGCAACTCATCTATTAATTTGACGACGTGATTTCTCCGAGTGACTCCTCTAACAAGCTCTAGGGACCCACACAAGATAGAGATTCTGGTACAATGTCGGCCAAGATAAGCCCAAGCCATGTGCTTCATTTTAACGTGCTGCTCCCCCCCCCCCGTGACTCAGGACTTCACATTCTAAGAATAACTGGGACGGTCGGAATCTCAGAACTTCCGGCATGCCAGAAATAGAGAGCACTTCAGGACCTCCTGGGGATTACCACTAAAGACTGGGGACTTTAGGATCTGGCTGTCAAACTTCCACATTTGGCCGAGTCAGTATTCATGCCTCTCTTGAAGGAACTTGTGTAATAATTTTGGAGGGCAATCTTTGCAATGCACTTTTTTGTCAATTAACCCTCCCAAGTCACTCTTTGGATCACTTGGCAAACACCTCAAAGAAGCGCAGCTGTGTCGTGTTGTGCACTGCACCAACAGTC